ATATAAGCTCAACATATATATTCATATTAAACCTATTTTCACATTAGTCATGTTGTAAAGAAGAATTAGCACCAATAGGAGAAACCATGAGAAGGAAGAGAAAAAAGAGAGAGAGGGAGAAAGAAAATAATATGCTTCGATCTGTATTCAGAGTCCATAGGTTTTTTTTCTGGATGTGGACAGCAGTTTCCATCATGAGTCTTTTGGAGTTGTCTTAGATCTTTGCATTGCTAAGAAGAGATAAGTCTATCAAAGTTAGCTATCACACAGTGTGGCGGTTACTGTGTACAGTGTTCTCCTGGTTCTGCTCATTTCACTCTGCATCAGTTCGTGTAAGTCTGTAGGTTTTTTTTGAAGTCTGCCTGCTCATCATTTCTTTCTTTTCCTTTTTTTTTTTAAACCTTTATTTATTTATTTATTTATTTTTGGCAAGGCAATAGGGTGAAGTGACTTGCCCAGGGTCACACAGCTAGTAAGTGTAGAGTGTCTGAGGCCAGATTTGAACTTAGGTCTTCCTGAATCCAGGGCTGGTGCTCTATCCACTGTGCCATCTAGCTGCCCCTGCTCATCATTTCTTACAGCCCAAAAGTATTCTATCGTAGTCATATGCCACAACTTGTTCAGCCATTTCCCAGCTGATGGGCAACCCCTCAATTTCCAATTCTTTGCCGCCACAAAAAGAGCTGCTATAAATATTTTTGTATATGTGGGTCCTTTTCCCATTTTTATGATCTCTTTGGGATACAGACCTAGAAGTGGTATTGCTGGATCAAAGGGTATGCACAGTTTTATAGCCCTTTGTGCATAGTTTCAAATTGCTCTCCAGAATGACCAACCCATCTCTTTCCACCCACAGAAGCATTCATTCATAGAAGCATTCCACCTCCAACCCCTCCTTTTCAGTGCTTCCCTCCCTTCTCACCTACATCCCTGTAGGTTCTTCTCTTTCTGAGACTACAGTGATCAATTTTCCCCTCATTGCTATTCCTTAATTTGACCTGGGTACATCACTCCTCTCTATCCCCCCTCCCCACCTCCCACCCTACCACCTATGTGCCCTTCCAAGTTGTAGTATCCCACACACACACAAAAAATTTGTTTTACCTGTAGTACACGGTGTTACCAGGTTCTGGCCAAACTACTCCCTGCCTGCATCTTCACTGTTTCCTTTGTCAGATTCCCACCTTCACCTCTGTCTCCTCATGTACATTTAGAAAGATGTCTCTTACTAGTCTCCTTGCTGTTGTCATTACCTGCTGCATTTATTCATTCCTCTTGCATTTCTGTTGTTTGGGGTGTTCTGGGGGGGGCAAATAATCTCTTCAGTTCTGGTTTTCTTTCTTAAAATGTTTCAAACTCTTCTTTACTATTAAATGTCCATCTTTTGGTCCCGTATGGTTAAGCTCAGATTTGCAGGATAGATATTCCTAGTCTGTATCCTGAACACATTGTTCCATTCCTTCGTCCTTTTTCTAGGGGGTATAGAAGTCTTGTGTCATTCAAATGTCCTTTCCCTTGTCTTTGAAGATCTTTTTCCGAGTGGTTTGTAGAACTTGTTTCTAAATTGAATTGATAAATTTAGCCACTATGTGTTTTGGAATTTGCAGCCTTGGGGCTTTTTTTGGGAAGCGATTTGTAAATTCTCTCAATTAAAATTTCATTTTCTAAGTTCTGGGTACTTCTATTATTTCCTTCATTATGGTGTTAAGGTTTTTTTTTTTTTTTTTTGTCCTGTCATGTTCTGGGAAACCTGTGCAGCCTATGTTTGAGATCAGTGGGTTTTGCTTGCATAGTGAACATATTTTCTTTTCTTTTTGTTTTCGGCTTCTCTTCTCCTAGGTTGTCATTCATTTCTGTGTGTTTGCATTCCCAATGTATTGTTTCTTTTGTTTCTTTGCCATTGCAGATCCAGGTTTTTCTATTCTGGTTGTTACTTTTGCTGTTTAGGACATGAATTCTGCTCTCATAATTCTCATTTCTTTTTTGAATCACTCAGGAACAAATAGCATGTTGTGGTTCTATGTTCTCAAATTTCATAGGGTCTTTTGTTTCATCAAATGTTGGATCATTTTGTAGTATTTATTTTGCAGTATTTATTCACAGATGCCTGAACTGGGGGCCACATTTCTGCTGTTGTTACTGTTTTTCTTGATGACTTATCTGTTTATGTTCAAGATCTTACAGATTTCACCTTCCTGAAATCTTTGGTATTTTCAGTCTCTTCCCCCCCACCCCCCACCATATTTTCCTTGTAACTCACTTACCTCACTCTCCCCTCTTCTGTGGTTTCCCTGGGGGTTGGATCTCAAAGCATCTCAGCCTTCTCCCATGTTAAGAAATTCATGGCTCACCCACCTAGGTCTCTGTCCTAACTGATTGTTGGGTGGTTAGAATTGGCCCCAGCTGGTGGGGGGGGGGGCAGGGAGAAATCCTTTCTGACGAAAATCATTACTGCTATTTTAAAATTCTTTGATCGTTGAATGTGAGACCCCTTCTAACATGATTTAAGAAGCTGTACACATACAAGCAAAGTTATTTTCCTGTTGATGATTTTTTTTCTTTCGGTGAAAAAATGGTAGAAATCTAATTACTGTTTACTTCAATGTTATATTGCAGTAAAAGTTTTAAAATAACCATTGCATATTTGCTTTTGATGTATCCCGTTGTGAACTGAGCACTTTTGGGGCCAATGGAGAAATGTAGCATTCACTCTCCCTTCTCTCTCCCCTCCCCTCAGCTGAAATGTTTTGAGTTCCAACTGCTACCTTTTTTCCTGATTAAAAAGCTGATACAGTATAAAATTGAAGGAAATATTTCAAAACTAGTTTTCTGATGCTTGTACGCTTTCCCCTTTCTCATGCAGGAGTATATGGCCAACTCAAGCCACTGGCATTGTATTGCTTTCTTTATTAAAAAAAAAAAAGTGCATAGAACTGTCTCCAGCAACTTTTCTTCTGTTAGAACAAAAAGGGCAAAACCTATTGGGAGGGTTGGGAAATGGAAGCTGGTAAGATATGAAACTTTGGAAAATAGACAAACAATCAAGGTAACTCATGGCATATTAAAAGGAAAATCTTAATAGCAAAAAAAAGAAAAAAAAAAAAAGTGGCCCCAGCTGGATGCTGTGCGCTTTACCTCAAGCTTGTGGAGTGCTGCCCCAGCTGCCCTGGGTTTCTCAGTTCTCTAGCCCAGCACTGGCACTTCAGTGCTTTGAAGTGCTGGTACTTCTGGGTTGCAGTCCCTGGCAGACTTTTGCTCCTGAAGGATTAATGCAAAACGGGTATTGAAAAATAAGTGTTTGGCTTAGAAAAGAAGATGCCTTGAATTTTTAAAAATCTCTTCAGTGTTGTACTTCTACAAAAAAAGTAATCTATGAAGTGCTTCCATGACCTTCCCAGCCACTCATTCCTCAGTTTCCTGCAATCTGGCTTCCATTATCAAGTAGCTAAACCTGCTTTCTCTGTCAGTCAGTAAACATTTAAATATCTAATATATGTCAGCCAAGATGTTAAGCTCTAGGGATACTAAAAAAGCAAAATATTGACCCTGTTCTGTAAGAGCTCTCAGCCTAATGGGGGAGACAACACGAAAACAACTATGTGCAAACAGGACATAGAATAAATGGGTAATAATCAAGAGAGGAAAAGCAGTACAATCAAGTGGGATCAAGAAAGGCTTCCTATAGAAGGTGAGATTTTAGCAGAATTTTTAAGGAAGCCAGGGAAACCATGAAGAGATGAGGGAAGAGAGTTCTAGCCATGGGAGACGGCCAGTGAAAATGCCACATATGGAGCATCTTGGGTGAGGAATAGTATTGGATCACAGAGGATGTTAGGGGAATACCAGGGTCTTTTCCAAGCTCATCAGTTACCCCGACCAAATCTCAAGGCTTTTTCTCATGTCTCACCTTTCTTGACTTTTCTGTAATAGTTGACACTGTAAACCATTTTTCATTCTGGATGCTCTCTTTCCTTGGCTTCTGTGGAATTGTCTTATTTAGGTCTCTTCCTACCTACCTTGGTTGATCTTCTTCTTCCCATTCCTAAGTGTAGGGGTGCTCCAGGCCTTTGTCCTGAACTTATCTTTTTCTGTGTTCTCTCATTTTATCTCACCCACTCTTCTGGCTTCAGTTGCAGCTTCTATTTCAGTGACTCCCAAATCAACCTATTCAACCCCAAGCCTCTCCCTGAGCTTCAGTTCCATATTTCTATCTACCTACTCAAAATATCCCTTTCAGTGTCCACCAAAACCTGCCCTTTACAATGTCTTGCCTATTTCTGTTGATGGTGCAGCTTTCCTGATAGTCACCTAGGCTTGAAAACTTTGCAGGGGCTACATGACCACTTGTCAAGGATGTTATAGAAACTATCTAGTCAGTTAACTGGTATTTGTTAAGTACCTGCAACTGCCACACACTGTGCTAGACGCAGGGACAGTGTAGACCAAAATAAGGCAGTCCTACCCTCAAGAAGCTTACACTCTAACAGAGGAGATAACATTTTCATATACAAAATAAATAAAAGATAATTTAGGGAGCACACACAGCTGGGGACATCAGGAGAGGTTTCATGTAGAGAGTGGCACTGAAGCCGAGTGCTACCTCTTAAAAGGTGCCGCTTTCTCTGCGAATATTTCCTGATCCCGCTAGTTGTTATTGTTGTCTCCTGATTTAGTTTATCTTCTGTTTACTTATCGTTCATGTTGTTTGTATTGTATCACCCCAATAAAAATGTAAGCACTTTAAGGGGGAGGGACCATTTTGGTTTTTGTCTTTGTATTCTCAGAACCTCGCACTGTATCTCAAACACATTAGGAGTTTAATCAATGTTGAATTGAGCCAAAAGGGGCTTTCTCAATGAGTTTACAAAGGAAGTTTTTCTAACTATTAAAAAGCAACAAATCACAACTAAGAACAATAAAACATTCTTTAAGGTGTGTCATTTTTATAGATAGGAACCTTAAAATACTCAGGTAACAGTTTTCTTTTTCTCATTTATTAGGGTAAAAGGATTTCATTTTACAAACGGGCTCAGATACTTGTGGCAGATACTTGGTGTGTATTAGAAGGAAAAGGAGATGGTTGCTTCAATGACATTTCCAGTATCACTATGTTTGCTGACTACAGACTACCTCAAGTTCTTGCTCACCTGGGAGCAATAAGATATTCTGATGAACTACTGAAGAAACTTCTTAAAGGTTTGTAAATTGTTTATAATATAACTCTTTGCTTATACTCTGTGGGTTGTTATTCTGCATTTCATGAGCTGGTTTACTTAATAGGAAGACCTGACTTTGAATCTTTCCTTAAACACTAACTGTGTGACCCTTAGCAAGTCATATAATCTCTCTCTCAACCTCAGCTTTCTCATCTATAAAATGGGACTAACTGTAACAACTATCTCACAGGGTTATTATGGGGATCAAATGATATAATTATTATAAAAGACTTTGCAAACTTATTATATCATTCTTCCCATTGGTCCCTGAGCCAGTGCTGTTTGAAGCAGTCCTGAGCCTAGGGGACAAGACTCCTGCACTCACCTCCACTGGTTGGCTTCTTCTTGGACTTTCTCTTGCACCAAAACTAAGGAGCAGGGATGTCACTGCCTGATTCCTACCCCAGTGGGGACCTGCCTTAGGACCTTCTTCATTGCTAAGCTGCTCTGAAAACAAGACCCTTCCCCCTTCTCCAGCACAGGCAAGGCACTGTGGCCTCCTATACCTCTGCCTGCTTGTGTTTGCTGTGAGGTGGGCCTCCTTGGGTCTCACAGGATACAGCATATCCCTCTGCCGGGAAGCTGAACCTCAAGGGTAGATCTACAATTGTCTAAGTTGCTGCTTACCTCAGTAGTCTTCTCTCTGTATTCTTCGTGGACTTACAACTCCATGGTCAGAGCACTCATTCCCTTGTATTCACCCTGTCACTCCAGATGTACCTACCCCTTTCATTGTGCCCTCTGAATACCTGCCCCATCATTAACAAACTTGCTTTCATTTTAAACCTTTTTTGCTCTGTTCATATTCTGGTCCTCACTGAGCTAGATCCTTCCTAACTGAAATTCCCTTGTCACCCTTTCCAGTACTGGCTATACTTTCTTTTGTACCCCAACTCACTGGTCATGGTTGGGGAATAGGAATATTTCTTACCCTCAGTTGCCATTTGACCACCTTCACTAGCATCCTCTGTTCCTTTGAGGTTCATGCTATCTAACTTTATCACACAATCCTAAATCTGGTGGCTGTTCTTTATGAGCCCCCCAGGACATTCTCCTTTCTTCCTCAGTGAGTTCAATGCCCAGCTCATAATCTCTCTCCTTCCATCTCTTTCCCTCATAGTAGGGAACTTCAGCATGTACATAGATACCCTTTCAAGTGCCCTAACATCCCAATTCGTCATTCTACCCAGTTCTCATGATCTGTTTCTCCACTCCACCCCAGCTATACATATCTTGACCTTGTGTCACCCATAAGTGTTCCATTCTATGTTGATGACCTCTCAAATTCCTTTGATCATAATCTGTTATCATTCCATCTTTCCTTGTGCTTTATAACCCTTAATCCTGTTCTTCATCCTTATCCTGACCTCTATTCTGTCTCTTTTTTGGATTTTTTTCCAGGCTATCATCCCTGCACTGGCTATTCTTTTCTCTTTTCCCTATATCTTTGTCAAGTTCTCAGAACTCAAAGAACTCAGCTCTACACTGCATTACAGTCTCATTTCACTCCCCTCCCCCACCACCAGTCTTATTGCCAATCACAGTTTGCCAAACCCCAACCCTAGATTATTCTCACCATTTGTCTCCTTTACTACTATTCACATGCCGTTAAATAGAGCTACAGGAAATCGCCAAACCATACTGACTGGGCTCTCATTGCAGCAAAGTAAACATTCTATTCCTTTCATTGACTCACCATCTCACTCTCTGAGTTGGGAACCTTGGTGATTAGGAGGATGATGGTGGCTCAACAGTGATATTGAAGTTCAGCAGGGTAGAGAATTTGGCTATTCCAGATTTTCTTGTCTCTCCTCAAGCTGCCTGTAATACCTCCTCACTCTCTGTTTACCAAGGAGCTCACCTCATACTTTATCAAAAAAAAGTGTCAAGAAGAATGAGACCATTCACTAAGAACTCCCCTACTCTCTTCATCTCATATCACTCAGTAGGACACAATGTACCTTGACCCACCTTGGTCGTGATGTCGTTTTGGTCCTCTTCAAACACAGGAACAAACAACAACATGCTCCCTGAAAAGTACTTTCTCCCCTTCCCTCCCTCTTCAGCTTCTTTTTTTGGTGTTGATCTCCCAGTAGATTTGGGCAGGGACTTTTTTTCTTTTGCATCCCTACTGCTTAACACTGCCTGGCACTTAGTAAGCAGTTAAGGTTTATTGATTGACTGGCTGAAAGAATGTAGATGGCTCATGTCTATCCATATCCACCTAGATAAAACTCCTCCACTCCAGCTCTTTCCATCCCTTCTACTGTGACATCTTGAAATTTTTTCCTCTTCATAATTAACAAGCGGAAGCTTCATTTTAGACCTCTTTCTCTCATGGTCATTCCATCTTAGGGGCTCTCAGATCTGGATCCCCTTGGATGACACTTTATCCCTAGGCATTCTTTTCAGTAATGGTTGCCCCTTCTTTGATGCAACATTAGACCTGGAAAGGGAGTTGGAATACTCCCCATGGCCATTTCCAGATTCTCCATTTAAGAATATCCAAGAGGAGAAAGGGTGGTCATCAGTGACAAATGATAGAGGGATGAAGATTGATTAAAGATTATCAAATTTGGCAATTTAGAGATCATTGGTGACCTTGGAAAAAGACAGTTTCTTCAGCAACTTCTCCTTAGAGGTTCAATTTATGCAAATTTATCACCCAGTTCAGGTCCAAGTGGCTATAATCTCTCAGTATCTGGTTTCCAGTATTCCGCATCACTCCTAACTTCCCTGTTGCTGTTGAGAATACAATCATCCTCCCATTCACCAGGCTCATGATATAGGTGTCATTCTCACCTCCTCACTTGCTAATGCCCCATATCCACTCAGTTGGTTAAGTCCTGTCATTTCTACCTTCATAACATCTTGTATATATGCCCCCTCTCTCCTTGACACCATTATCACCCCAGTGCAGACTCTCATCATCTCACATCTGGACTCTTGCAGTAACCTACTGGTTGCTCTCCTTGTATCAAGTCTCTTTCCCCTCTCCAAGCCATTCTTCACTTAGCTGTCAAATTGATCTTCTTAAAGTGCAGGTCTGACCTTGTCACTTCATTCTTTCCTTTACTCCCATTTCTGATGGAGAGTTAACCTTTCTTTCCAAGGCCAATCTATCTACCTGTACCTTTGATTGCGTGGCTTTTTCTCATCTTCTTTAGCAAATGGCCTCCACTTTTACCTCTCTTTCTCTAATCTTTAATCTTTTCCTATCCACTGATTCCTTCGCTTCTGCCTACAAAAATGCCCATGTACTGTATTCTGAAAAAAAAATTCACTAGATCCTATCTCCCTACAAGCTAAAGTCTTGTATATCACCTCTCTTTCCCAGCCAAACTCCTTGAAAAAGCTGTCTACACTTACTGCCTTCTTCTCCTCTTTCTTTTAAGCCTCTTACAATCTGGCTTCCAATGTAATTACTCAACTGCCCCTTTCCAAAACTACCAATGACCTCTAATTATCAAATATCATAACTTTTTCTCAGTCCTTATCCTTCGTGGATTCTCTGTGGGATTTGGCACTGTTGACCATTGTCCTGGACACCCTCTCACCTGTGGGTTTCCTAATATTCTAGGTTATCCTCCTACGTTGTATAACCACTTCTCCTCATTCTCCTTTGTGGAATCATTCTTTAAGATACACTCATTGACTGTGTGAATACCACACAACTCTGTTCTGGGCCCTTTTCTTGATTTCTCTCTTTATTCACTTGGTGACCTCTGTGGCTTTAGTTAGTTACCATCTTTATGAAGATAGCTAGCTTGAAAATCTATGTATCCAAATCTAGTCTCTTGAGCTCCACTCCTGCATAACCAGTTGCCTACCAGATAATTTGGACTATGTGTCCTGTAGACATCTCTAATTCGGCATACGTCAAACTGAGTTCATTATCTTTCTCCTCAGACTCATCCCTATTCTGAACTTCCCTATATCTGTCAAGATACTACCATCCTTCCATTCATCCAGATTTGGAACCTTGAAGTCATGCTCAGCTCCTCATTGTCTCTCTTCCAGCATAACCATTCAACACCATATCTTTTCTACTTCTATTTTTTTTGTTTTGTTTTGTTTTGAGGCAGTTAGGGTTAAGTAACTTGCCCAGGGTCACACAGCTAGTAAGTGTCAAGTGTTTGGTCTGAGGCCGGATTTGAACTCAGGTACTCCTGACTTCAAGACCGGTGCTCTATCCCTTGCGCCACCTAGTTTCCCTCTTTTACTTCTGATCTCTTGTGTCCATCCCCTTCTATCTCTCTTACAGCTTTCACTGTAGCTCAGGTCTTTATCCCCTTTCTCCTGGGGTACTGCAGTAAGCCACCTACTTGATCTTCCTGCTCTGTCTCTAGTCCTTCCCTCACATAACTAACAAATTGATTTTCCTGAAGTGCAAATCTGACCATAATATTGTCCTAAATAAGTTCCAATGCCTCCCCATTTTCTCCAAACAAATTTCTTTGTTTGGTATTTGGAGCTCTTCTCTACCCTGTCCCAACCTACCTTTCCACCTTCATTATACATTACTCACCCTATATACTACAGTCCAGCCATATTGGTCTTCTTGTTATCCTCATAAAGAGCACTGCAGAGGATCCAGGAAAAGAGACAGAGAAGGGACAGTCAGGAAGAAGAATTACAGAAAGATGAAGAAGAGGAGCAGCCCCTTTAAGCAGATGATGCAGAGTCAGACTGTTCCTGAATGAAATCAAGGGCATCTAGGCCGCGCAGGCCAGAGTTAGAATTCCGGGTGAGGAACATTTTCTACCAGGGCAAGATTGACACCTCAATGCTAAGACAAAGACTGTAGCTGAGCTATAGCTGTGGGAATCCACACAGAACAGATATGGTAGTTTTGCTTCTGGAAGCTGCTTTCTTCCTCAAGTGATTTACGCTCTGTGTCTGTCTGGAGAGAATTTCTGCTCTCTCAACTGTGCCTCAACTTTCTGGAACATCTGATGCTCCAGCTGCTGGATGGAGTGC